TTTTTTTTTTTTTTTTTTTTTTTTTTTTAATGCGCAGGGACCGTGCTAATCTTCTCTGTATCGTTTCAATTTCAAAATTTCAATGGATGTCCACAAGGACCCCTTCTTCTTTTTATTCTTTCTTCGTTTGCTTTTTAAAATTCCCCAACTGGGTTTTGCTTTTCTAAGTCTTCTTGCATTTCTAACGTTGCTGCAGCTGCTCCTGCTCGACAGAAGGTTAACCGACCCCCCAATTTTCACCCCCATTTATAAAAAAAAACGAAGGGTCATTTTAACCATACTTCACACCAATCTGTATAGTGCACTTCTTACTAACTTATTGTAAAACCAAAACCGAAAAAAAAAAAAAAAATATATATATATATATAAAGCAGCAAGCCAAAAGTGCATTTTCATGAAATTTCACCAACATTTCAATTTGTCAATTTTCACGATTTTCACCACTGCCCAAAACACTTTTCAGGGCGGTGAAGGTTACCCTAGGGGTGAAAAGTGGGGGTACCTGTTAACCATTTGTGCTCCCCCTACTCCTCCTGCTCCTCCTTCTCTTTCTCCTTCGCCTCTTCCACTTACTACTACTACTACTAGTCCTGCTGCTGCTCTTCTTCTTCCTCTTCTTCTCCTTCTTCTGTTCCGTCCTCCTTTTCTTCTCGTCTTCCTGCTCCTCCTCATCCTCCTCATCTACTCACCCTCCTGCCGCTGCTCTTCTTCTTCTTCTTCTTCTTCTTCTTCTTCTTCTTCTTCATCTGTTTCGTCTTCTTTTTCTTATTGTCTTCCTGCTCCTCCTCCTCCTTTTTTTTGGCAGGACCATGTTGGACACACCTTTCGAGTGGACTCTCCTGTTATGTACGAGAAGCTGGATCAGATGAACAAGGTGCTTGAGGTAATATTCTAAAATAGGAAAACCTTAGACCGGCCAACGATTGTTTCAAAGTATCTGTTCATTCCTTCTTTGTTTCAATGTGCTCTTTTCTGTCGCTGTGCTTTTTTTATTTTCACTGTGCTTTTTGTTTGACTGTGCTCTGTTTTCTTTCACTGTGCTTTTTGTTTGACTGTGCTCTTAGTTAACATTTTACTGGCAGAATAACCTCTAGGCTAGGCTAGCAGAGTGGTGCGGGACCCCTTGCCTGGCCGGGCCAAAAAACATAAAAAAAATAAATAAAAAATAAGACAAACTAGTTTTTAATTTTTTTGATGCTAGTTTTTATTTTCAATTCGGTAAAGAATTTCGATGTGGCCCTGAGGCAGAAGTTGTTGCTGGATGCTAGGCTTCGGGAGGTGCCTGTCGTTGTACTCAAGCAGTGGGGAGATCAGATGGCCTGTGACAGCCCCAAGGACAGTGTCCTCCAGGGTGCATCATTCATGAACCTTTTCTGTTGTCCTAATCAGATTGCAAGTCGAGCATTACAGCGGTGTGACCCAGACCTGTCTCTAGACCTAGACGTAGACCTACACCAACCTGTACTTTCAGAGGGTCTCAGACAAGTCACCCTGGCGGGCGCTACCATAGGGACACCCCGAATTATCGAGGACGACCCAGACACAGGAGGGGTCACAGATATGTGGTCATTCCCCACCTGTATCACATTGAACAGACTCTATGGGTGTCTACCACCCTTCTACTATCAATGCGACGACCCACCCTCCCCTGCCTAAGATGAGACGCCTACCCAGAGACCCTTCCCCAGATTCACGCCCCAATTGACCCCCTCAATGGGAAGGCAGACAGGTACCAGCCCGGATGAAGCCCAGCCGGCAAGCATCGTAAGATAGACATGAGGCCCGCCCTTGGGAATCGTATATGCCCAACACCCCACCCTTACCACTACTCAAAGGGGGTGTAGAGAGCGGAGCCGTACCGGGACCAGGATCATACAATGTAAGTATGGACTCTCGCGGGTGTACCGCGAGGCCGGGAGACTCCTACGGTACCCAGACACACCCATGACACACCCACAGAGCAGTGCATACGAACGATTCGGAGACGGTGCACACAGACAGGCCCACAATCTCTACACAAATTCCTACCTGACCTAACCTAATCTAGACCTAAGACCTCTACCCAACCCAACTCATCGGACCAACCCAAGGCCATGGTGAGTATATGCGGCATGACCCAGAGATCATTGGACCCCCCCCCCCCCCCCCCCCCCCCCCCCCCCCCCCCCCCCCCCCCCCCCCCCCC